AATTTTCCTTCAAGCTTTGATTCTAAATTTCAGTTATTATAGTTACTCCTTTTGAGGTAAGTCATTGGGGAAGTGCGTTAACAATGAAAATAGGATGTCTGGGAGGAGTTTAAACATTCATTGTTCAAACAGTATTTGTCGGGGGCCAACTGTGCATCAGGCATTGTACTAGACAATGGACTTGTGACTTTGAAAAACGCAGTCCCTGTGTGCCCTTTTTGAATTTACAGGCCAGTGAAGGGAAACAAAGAAATAAATACAAAATCTAACTGTGTGATAAGGGCTATAATGGGAATGTTTAGGGAGATAAGAGCATTCATAGGAGAGGCACCCAACACGAAATCTGGGAAGACTTCCTGGGGGCTGTGATGTCTCAGGGGAGACTTGAAGGGTGAGTCAGAGTAAGTCAGATGAATAGGGATAGGAGGAAGATTTCAGGTAGAGTAATTGCACATGTGAATATTTAAACCCAGAGAGGATCCAGAGGGTTTGGGGAATTTGAAAGAAATGCAGTATGGGAGGAGTGCAGTACCTGTGGAGGAGGGTGGGGAATCTTGAGAAATGAGGATAATAATTCAAGTCCCTTTGCTCTTGAGATAGATTACTCTTCCTGCAGGGCAGCAAATGGATAGTGAAAGCAAAAGGATGAAGGCAGTGATCTTCTGGGAAAAGTTGGTGTCCTAAAAATAATAATGAGGATGAGAAAAGGGAGGGGACTCAAAAGAGATCAAGGAGACAGAAATAAAAATCTATGAGAGATCAAATGTAGAGATTGAGAAAAAAGCTCAAGGCTTCGGGCTGGATATTTTTGGCTTGTACACCTACCAACAGTAGTGCCATTTGCTAAGCTAGGAAACAGAAGGGAGGGGCAGGTCTGGGCAAAAGATAAGAGGTTAATTTTGGACAAATGGAGCTTCAAGTGGCTAGTACATAGTAGGTGCTCAATAAATATTTCTTGAATGAATAAATATGCAAGTAAAAATGTCTAATAGGTATCTGGAAACGTGGCTCTCCTACTTAGGAAAGAGATGTTGGTTGGAGATTTCTATTTTGAAGTCTTCAATGTACAGATAGATGAAGCTTAAACCCCAGGGAGTGGTTGTGATCATCCAGGGCAAGGTGTGTAGAGGGGAGAAGAGGGTCTAAGGGCTCATCAAGAGGAGCACAAGTACCTGAGGGCAGGTAGAGGAAGAGGAGCTCTCAGATGATCTGAGTAGGAGGGGCCATTAAAATATTAATAGGACTAAATGTGAACACCCTAGAAGCAAGCTCTGTGAGGGCAGAGATTTTTATTTTGTTTATTTTGGGGTGCCTAACATTGACTGAATTGTATCCTCTTCCCTGCAATTCACATGTTAAAGTCCTAACCCTCAGTGTGACTATACCTGAAGATGGGCTTCTTCGAAGAGGGTCCCCACCACACCTGACCACACTGGCACTTCCAACCTGATCTCACACTCCCAACCTCCCACACTCTGAGAAAAATAAATCACTGTCATTTAAGCCACCCAGTCTAGGATGTTTTGTTGGGCCAGCCTGAGCTGACTAAGACAGGCCCCGAACACTTAGAAATGGTCCTGGCAAATATAGCTAATCAATATTTTTTGAGTGAATTGAATGAACAAGTCATTCAATGACATACTTCTGAAAGTGTCACTTCCTCAACACAATGTGATTGTACTCGAGGGGGTTAGAGGGGAGGGGAGTCCATGTGGGAGTCCTAGGTGCTTGGGGAGAGTGGGAGGGAGCTGTGGTAACAAAATAGGAAGAAAGACCTGAAAAGGCTCAAAATGCAGAAATCTCCTTTAAAAAATTGGCTAAGTCTTGCTCTAAATTGGGGATGGTTCTGATTTGATTATGTGGTGTGTGTGTGTGTGTGTAAAAGTCCTCCTTAACATTAGATAAGATTATCTCAATCTAAGTGAATTTAGGCACAATCTGGACATTGCTTTTCACAGAGAAATCATGCCCTAAGCTGGCAATGAGATTCCTCAAGTAAACAACAGATAAAGGAAGGAAGAGGGACACAGTGTAATAATAACTGGAATAATTGGAATTCTTATGCCACTCATGGCACTTACAGTGAAAGTACTTTCTAAATTGTCTTCTATTACATGCAATACAGGTAAATTATATAAAAAGTTCCTAAAATGTTATTAAAAATAAATTTTCTAAGATAATGTGAGATGAAAGTTATGACATTCTATTAACCTGGCAAATTAAGTCCAAATCATTCATTGATTCCTAATGAAGAGTAGCCATCCTGCTTGACAACCCAAAATTCAAACTATCTTCATCAAGTCCTGGATAGGAAGCCAGAAAATGGCATCTGAGTTCACAGGGTTTGTAAGAGTCATGGTCTTTGGCTTGGCTCTTGGTTTACAAATTGTGTCTTTTTTCCTTTGGAGTGGAATGAGAAAGAAAAAGCTGTTTAGAAACATGTTAAAGAATATTGATTCTGGTTGGCGTCTTGCTAGTTTGTATCCTTGCAGAATTAGGCAGCTTTTGATAATGTTAAAATCCTGTTATACTTAAAAAGATCCATGACTGGAGTGTTAGTACAGTTCTGTGGCCTTGAGGGTCCACATCCCAGGGAGAGGGGTCTGACTGAGAAGAGGACAGCTCTAAACCCTGATGCCCCATAGAGCTACATGCCCAACACCTGACTGGTCGTGCCATCGGTAAGAAATGAGGTATATGTGTTCCAATTTGTAAGAGATCATGGTCCAAATAGAGAGACCAAAGGTTTATGTTACCATCCGGCCCAGATCATGGTCCATGGCAAAATAAATCTATGGTGATAGAAATCAGTGCAATGGTTGCCTATGGGGGTTGGTATTGAGTAGAACGGGGAATGAGCAGAACCTTCTGGGGTGATGGAAATACCTCATACTTTCACTGGGATGGTTGTTACATGGGCATATCTATCTGTCCAAACTCAACAAACTATAAACTTAAGATATGTGTACTTCCCTATCTAAATTTTGCCTTGAATACCAAACACTCAAGGCCAAGTGAAAAAGTCTAGGAGCTGATCAAAAAACCTTAAAACAAATCACCAAATTATTTTTCAAATGAGCGGAAACTTACACTTTTGAGGAAAATGGATGATATCAAATAAGTATTCAAAAATGAGATCCCAAAGAGAGCATTTATAATCAGTATAATGATCAGTTTGGACATAGCTAAAACTTTCATGTCTCAGAGCAAAGGAACCATTTCTTAGTAGTATAAGCTATTATGCCGATATTTCCACATTTATTTTCTTTCATGATTCTGTTGGAGGAATAATGTTTTTGTAATGTAAAAAGCTTTTAAGGGAGCTAGAGATGAAGCTATGTTTGGTCATAGTATTATCTGCTTACGAACTAAAAATTCAGAGCTCTCTTGTGAATCATGCTGCCAAGAATTGCAGGCTTAAGCCTCGAGATTGTACAAATTAGAATTTTAACTTTATGGCCTCAGTCGGCATGAAGATAGAAAGATAATCTTCTAGCAAAAACATTTTTGAAAGTGGTACAATGTCACATGGAAATTTAACTTTTAGAGATAGATGGTTATCCAGGCAGATGTAATACTATTTTGTCCTTTTAAGTATCTGGATCAATAAATTAGCCAATATTTGGTGACCTAATATGGCCAGGCACAGTGCAAGGCACTCAGAATTCCCAAATAACTCTAGCCCGACCTTGCCCTCACACAGCTTCAGAGCAGGATGAGGAGATAAAAAATAATATACACATAACTCTAATTCAGGAAGAATTTGATAAATCATGAGACCTACACTGAGAATTCAGGGGAGAGGAGATTTTCTTTAAATAAGGAATAAAAGATGGCCTTACAGATGTGGTGGCATTTGGGCTGCACCTATAAAAGAAGTTATGCCTACCCCTGACAAGCCAGGAAAATGGGTGTTCTAGGCAGAAAAGAAGACAAAGCTTTGAGTCATCATAAAAGCTTTGAGTTCTTGGAGTATCAGGTTTTTGTTTGGTTGAAGCAGAGGCTACAATTGGAGAAAATGGACTGGGAAGGACAGTTATGGGCAGAGAGGATGCCCTGAACTCCTGGGGGAACAATGATTTGGGTTAAAGGCAGAGCTGGTTCATGACAAGATGGATCCTGAGAAGCAAAAAAAACAAGAAAAACTAAACAGGCAGCAGGGTGTAGGATGATGTGGAGGAGGGAAGAGGCAAATAATTCATTAAGGGCTCTTAGGACAGGTGAGATGACGAGGGGCTGAAAGGGCAACAGAAATGCAAGGGAAAGAGAAAGACTGCAAAGCCAGAAGGTTCAGGAACTGCTTCTTGATCAGGTGCGCAAGGCAAGAGAAAGTCAGCCCTCAGTGAGATTTTAATCTGGGTGCCTGGGGGGACAGTGATGGTGGCCCCAGACAGAGGGAAGTGGGGAGGAGCACCACCTTTGGGGGAGGGAGAATGCTGACTCGTTTGCACAGGCCAGTGATGCCCAGGAGACTGCCGGAAAAGTGGGTCTGGAGATAAACGTGGCAGGGCAGTGGAGCTGGAGAAATCTTTACCCTTCTTCACCTGGGAGAGTCAGCAGGTCATGGCTGACTCTCTCATGTGTGTGTCCAGCATGAGAGTGTAGGGAGAGAAGAAGGGAGAGCTGGGGTCCCCAGTGCGAAGCTGTTGTCAGGGGCAGGAGAGGAAAACCACCATAATGCAGTATGCTGTCCCACCACGATCACCAGGCCTGGGGTTACAAATCTCACCAAGAAGAGTTTGAAAGACAATGCTGGAGAGAAGGTGGTCAAGAAAACTGCCTTTACTGGATATCTTGGACTAACTTTGTAAGTCTCTGAATAATCCAAGTCTGCGAGGAGGCGATAGCTAAGCTTCTTATCCTTATGTTAAAGGTTAACGTTTGCAGATCCCCCTTTTCTTTCTTCCTTCCTCCCCTTTCTTCTGCCTTCTTTCTCTCTTCTCCTCTCCTTTCCTTTCCTCCCTCCTTGCATATTCTTGCTTTATTTTGGAACTGTCTAGTATGTGGGTGGTCATTGACCTACAGGAGGAGCCACTCACCACAGTCAACAACAGAGGGCGACAGTCTTTCTTTTCAATATTTATTTATATCCAATATTTATCGTCATTGCTGATTATGGAGGGAACTCTTCTGTGTTCCAGTACTGCAATATTTTTGGTCTTTCAGTGTCCAAAAATATATATTTGCATTATGACATCATTAACATTTTTATAACTTTCTACTTCTTTCTTTGTGCTGGTTTCCAGAGCCACTCATAAATCTCTCAGCAACTGCATAGTGTCCAGGGCCACAAACTGGCCACTCGTGGCATTGTGATTAGAGTAATTTAATACCCAAGAGAGTGACTAATGCCTGGCAACAAAGGCTCCACTAGCTGTCCTGTGTCCTGGGACCCTGGGACAGGCACACTAGAGGCACCTTATCATTGTGTATCAGTAGCAAGAGAAAAAGTTAAGGACCAGGTGGATCCATGTGGGCACCGTGAGGAAATGAGAGCCCTTTCCCCGTGATCAATGCCAGTACAACCTGTTAGCCTAAAATCAGTTTAAAACAAAGGTACCCACCTTTGTCTTATCTTCATACTCTAGGCTTTTAATAATATTTTTTTTTCACATGTTTACAGAAAGCAGTCAACTGAGCTATTCGTGGAAAGGTTTGTGGGTTTGGTTAACGAGGTGGAGGAGTATTACATTTCAGCTGGAAACACATCCCTAGAATGCCAAAACATTTATTCCAAAGTCTGGTTTCCTGGTGCAATCGGAGGCATGGCAATAGTGTTTCTGTTCAGAGACTGGGGGCTGGGGCCAGCAAGGCATTTGATCTGAATGTGTCCCAGAAGCCTTTTATTGTTAAATTATATTCTTTAGGAAAAACCACTCATGTCCCATTTTGTAAACTTGATATCCATACACTTTTGACTGGCATTCTATTTTAGCTGTAAGACTGTGATTTACAGCAAGCCTGTTTTTCCTCTTGCCTAGGATGGCAGCAGAAAGCATGGGGCACTCTGTAGGCTCCAAAGCAAGGAGCACAGGGGCTGGAGTTTCTTTTCCCCAGTAGTGCTCTCCCTGGCTGTGCCACACTGCTGTCCATGAGCAGGCAGCAGAGTCTCCCTCACTCCCTACTGCCATTCATCCAGCGCTGAGCAGCAGCCCAGCTGCCGTGTCTGCCGGGAGGGGCTGCCAAGTGCCCTGCCTACTGGCTGCTTCCCGAATCCCTGCCATTCCACACACAAACACATCCACACACGCTCTCTGCCTCTCTCACACACCAGCCACTCACACATGCGAGTACATTCCTGCCTTCCTTCTCACTGTCTCGGCCCTCGACTTCTACAAGCCCATGGAACATTTCTGGAAAGACGCTCTTGATCCAGCAGGGTAGGATTGTTTTGATTTCTCTGTCTGTAGCTTTAGCATTTTGAGAAAGCAACTTACCTTTCTGGCCAATGTCTGTATCTTAGCAGGGAGATGAGGATTGCTGTTCTCCTTGGGGGTATGCCTGTGTCTTCTTTTCCTTTCAGGACTTGTAGGAGTCTTTGTGCCATTTCTATACAATTTGATAGGTTCAGATTTTTTAAGAGCCTTATGAAGTGCTTTTGCATGTGTTTCAAAAAGGCATTTGAAAATTGAAAGTATGATTTACAGAAACGAAATCATCTGTAAAAAATTGCTTTGGAAAGTAATGATTGCTGGCCATAAAGAGAATTATCTGAGATTCACCTAATGTGTTTTTAACCCTTTCTTTGCTTACAATCTATAGCTATTAATGCTAAACTCAATTTTGGCTTCATATTAAATCAGCTACATCTATGTATGGTCCAAAATGTTCTGTTTTTGTAAGAATTAGATAAAATGTATACCTACTAGTATAAAATATTCAAAACTGTAACTATTAGTAACAGCAACATTGGCATTTATATATACCATGAGCATTTTGTCAGATACTGTATTAGGTGTTTGGGGTAGCAATTAAACCAAAATATTAGGGGCTGTATCAGAGTCTATTAGGCTAGGGCAAAGGAAGTTTATTAAAAAGTATAAACTATCCAAGATTATGGATGCATGATATACTTAACATATTTTTTGTCTCATTAATAGGTATGTATGTGTGTGTATGCTTAGTTTTTAATTTCAGCTCAAAACTTTTTCCTGTTTATCTTTCATCTGAATATTTTATTCTGCATATTCCTATACCAAGTGAACTTAGAAAGTCCAGTTGTAGAACTAAAGAACAGAAATGCAGAAATGCATTTTAAAATTCGTTGGTTAGACAGGCAATGTAACATAATTGCCAAAGCTTTGGATAATGACCTGAGGTTATGTTTTATATGAAAAGGTTACATTTCATATTCAGTTTCTGAAGTTTTGGTTGCATAACCTGTGGAAGGCATGAACACCCATGTGCGCCCTAACCGAAGGTTTTTCTGAATCATCGTTCACATGAGAATTCCTAATGGGAGCAAGTACAGTACTATGGTCCAACATAAACACACAAGTCGGGCCGGGAGAACCTCAGAAGGTTGTGGCTGGAAGGGTCCACTTTGGGAGCATTTTGCAGATGAGAACACTGAGGCCCCGCAGCATTCTCCTGACGGCAAAATGCAGCTCTTTCTATAGGTACACCTTAAATCTCCGCCCCTTTCACCCTCAGATGCCTCCTATCAGTCCCTGCAGCAGCTAAATATAGCTGTCTGTGGTTGGCTGCATATGCAACCGCACACCCCATTCTATCTGCCATATCTCAGTTACAGAGTAGTCCTCCCCAGGGTCATTTTATGTACACACTACATATTTGTAGCCAACAAGGAGAGTGAATCAAACAGAAGGAGAGACAAACAGAGATAGATTGGAGTCTGGCACGGGGCACATAAGGCAGCACATTGGAAAAAGCTGGCCCCTGGATTAGTCTTGCGCGTTTATTTTAAGCCCAGTCTTCCCCGGGCCACCTTTAGGAGATCCTTGTGCGCCCCCGCCCCCCTGCAGTGAAATTCAGCCTCCATCCAGCAGCGACGACAAGTAAAGTAAAGTTCAGGGAAGCTGCTCTTTGGGATCGCTCCAAAAACGAGTTGTGCCTGGACTGATGTTTAAGCCAATGTCAGAGCAAGGCAACAGTCCCTGGCCGGCTTCCAGCACCTTTGTAATGCATATGAGCCCGGGAGACCAGTACTTAAAGTTGGAGGCCCGGGAGCCCGGGAGTTGGCGAGCGCGTTCGCCCCGGACTGCACTTGCTCGCGTCTGGCCGCCCGGCTGCACCGGACCGGCCGGCTCCCGGGGCAGGGCCGGGGCCAGAGCTCGCATTGCATGGTGGCGGGACATGCGCTGCGCCGCCTCTAACCGCGGGCTGTGCTCTTTTTCCAGGTGGCCCGTCGGCTGCTGAGCCCTCTGCCGCGCGGGGAGACGGTGCGCGCCTTGCCCGCGGCCGCTGACCATGACGATGACTCTCCACTCCAAAGCGTCGGGCATGGCCATGCTGCACCAGATCCAAGGGAACGAGCTGGAGCCCCTGAACCGCCCGCAGCTCAAGATCCCCCTGGAGCGGCCCCTGGGCGAGGTGTACGTGGACAGCAGCAAGCCCGCCGTGTACAACTACCCCGAGGGCGCCGCGTACGAGTTCAACGCCGCGGCCGCCGCCTCCGCGCCAGTCTATGGCCAGTCCGGCCTCGCGTACGGCCCCGGGTCCGAGGCGCCTCCGTTCGGCGCCAACGGCCTGGGGGGCTTCCCCCCGCTCAACAGCGTGTCTCCGAGCCCGCTGGTGCTGCTGCAAACGCCGCCGCAGCTCTCGCCGTTCCTGCAGCCCCACGGCCAGCAGGTGCCCTACTACCTGGAGAACGAGCCGAGCGGCTACGCGGTGCGGGAGGCCGGCCCTCCAGCGTTCTTCAGGTACCCGCGCCCGCGCGCCTGCCGCGCCACGTCGGGGTGGCCGCTGCGCGCCCGGCGGGGGGGAGCGAGCGGGCCAGCCAGCGCAGGGGTCGCGCCGCCGCAGCCCGCCGGAGGCCGCAGCCCGCGCGCTTGGGCACCCGGGAGCCCCGCCGGCCGCCGGCCCCGCCAGCCCGCAGCCCCGCCAGCCCCGGCCGCTGCAGCCGCGGGAGCCGCGGGACGCGCGATCCGAGGGCGCGCGGGGAACCCGGGGCGGGCGCGCGGCCCAGCCCGGGGGGCTGTTGGTGGAGCCCACATTCAGAGAGTTCAGTTCTATCGCTTGGCAGCTTAAAAAAATGTTTTCCACCCCCCACCCGGCAGTGCGAGAGGCAGATCCGCAAGCCCACGTGCTACCTAACTAAACAAACGTTGGAAAACCGTACAAAGCAGCAGTTATTTGTGGGGGGAAAACACCTCAAAGCAAATAAACACGAGGCGCTTTGAGTCACTAGCAAAGGTCTCGTTTTTTTTTCTTCTTGTATTTAAAGCTGGAGGTGATGGAGGTAGCGGAGCTGGGGAGGGTTTTGTTTACTATTATTTTAAAATTTTGTTTTTTTGATGTGCTCACAAAATTTCCCTTCATCTAGAATTCCAGGTTGAAAGTATGCAGGCTATTAGCGTGATGATGACTTTGTGGGGAGCAGTTCCTATCACCTGCGTTCCCACTCCTCCCCATCCCACGTCAGGGGCTCTAGGACTGAAGTGCCATAGGGATGAGAGCCATACAGGGGTTGAATGGTCTCAACAGGTTTCTCATTTCTGAGTTTACTGGTTGAGCCCGTGTTGGAGCATATTGCTGGCATGTGACTTCTGACAGCAGAAATTTTATAGGTGTCTCCTGAGGTTAAAACACGCCATATCAAAGCACGAGTGCTCTAAAATAACCCCTTGCCTGCTTAGTTCCATGCCCGGCCTAGCACTGTTGTGGAGGTCGTCTGGGTTCTGCGCCTCCCAGGAGGCGGGAGAGCGCTTTAAGTGGCGAATGTTTCGCATCCTCATTTTAATTTTTTTCTTATAGCGATTGTCTTTCTTCCTCTCCCTTTAGTCCCCTTTTCCCTTTGACAGTTTCTCCTTCCTATTCCTGATGGGCCTGCAGAGGGCTTAGGTGGGGGTTTCTGGTGAACACCTGCAGGACAGGTATATCCTGGGTTGGGTTGGTAGGCTTCAGGGCGCCCACATGGCTGGGTGCTGAGTTAGGTACTTCCCAACTGTACCTAGTGTCTGGATTTGCCTCCTGCTCTTGCCCAGATACTTCTGCCCTGCACACTGTGGACTGTTTTCTCTTCAGTGTTCTATTTCCAGAGATATTTTTAGCAGAAGAAACAGGACTAAGGTGCAGGTTAGCCGCAGAGGGTACTGAAGGGCAGATTCTTGGGGTATCCAAACGTGCTTCTTCAGACCTCTCAGAGGAGTTTAGAGCATCTCACAGCTAAGCAGCAGGTACAGGCTGAGTTATTGCTCAAAAGACAAACAATGAACAAAACTTTAAAACTTTGGCAAATTTTAAATTCATTTCACTTGTCTTAATTTAGGGTTAAAATGTAAAAAGAAAAATTATTTCTTTTGCCCATTTTTTTAAAAAATAGAAGAACAAAATAAAGCGATTAAGGGTAATTCAAAAAAGATTTTAAACTCCTGAATGTGAAGGAAGGCATTAGTATGATTTGAATTCCATAACCTTATGGTGGACTCCAGAAACTATTTTCTTTCCCATTTAATTTTCAGTTCTTTTATTGCAAATTAATGCCACTGAATTTCAATGGGCACTAATGAGACTGCTCCTGGATTATTTACTGCCTTGGTAATAATTACAAGGGAGCCTGGTCAATTAAAGAGGGGACTACATTTGATTCGAAATTGTTCATCATCCCAGTGGCAGGTACTATCACTATGATATGCCCCATCTTAAACTTTTTGCATTAAATAATATTTAAATACTTTTAGCATACTAAAAAAATGACAAGGAACTTTTAAAAATAAAGTAAAAAATTTGCACAAATGGGATACTGTGTGGAAATTCAGTTTAGAATGATTTTTCCTGTGTGATTCATTTCATATAACATCCTTCCTCTTTCATTAGCATTCCACCTCTTAAAACTCAGGAAAGAAGAGAAGCATTTACGCAAGTGCTTTGTACAGACAATATATTATTTAATATTTTCTCATCCTAGTTTTTCTATTTGAATAACTCTGTGTACAAAGGAAAGAATTGACTAGACTCTTTTAGGAAACTTTAATTTTCTTAGGTAATTACGAAAAGGTTGGGAGCTGAAAGCAATGGTTTTAAACTGCTTATCATGACCCAGAGGATCATGAAATCTCTTTAGTGAGTCTAAAATATTTTTTTAAAAAGACTAAAACAGAAAAGAATATAATGGAAAATAATAAGAGTACATGGTATTTAGTAAGGGTAAATTTTGTTTCTTGAAAATTTGTTTTAATTATACCTGCTTCTGTGTACTAATTGTAAAGTAAAATGTATTTCTGACAGGGGATTGAGGTCAAAAAGTTTGAAAACTACTAGCATAAAATGTTATATGTTAAGTAAAAAACAAAAAATTCAGGCAAGTGGCTGGTGATTTTATTTACAGAAACCAAAAAACTATTTTGAATGTCTTTTATTTTATTTTTCACTTGTAAATTTGGCTGGTGTCTTTAGGTCAGTTAGATTAAGCTTTACTATTTCTGATTCTTAGCTTTTTCATATATAGAATGGGACTATCATATGGATTGTTCACCTGAATGCCCCACTGAGATGTTCAGATAATCTATGTAAAGTTCCCATCATTTGGCATTGAGATATTACAGTTACTTTCTTCCCTTGGTCACAATATGCAGCCACACCTATGCATGAAGAAATATAATAGATACAATTTCTCTGGGCATATAATAATGTGAGAAAGATTGTCACATGTCTCAACAAATTGTTATTAACAGGTAATAAATTTGTTGGTAGGCAAGCTGTGATTTTGCAAGATGTGTCTTACTTAAAATTTCATGATGAAGGAAACTGGGAGTCATCTTAACCTAGTTCCTTTTCAAAGTTCAAACAACTTAGCAACTTTGAATAAAACTAAAGATGAAACTTAATTATATCTACCATGGTTTTAAAAATTCAAATTAGGTATTTAATGCTGCACACTTATTTCAGTTTTATTACTCAGTATTCTTAAAAGCTAAACATCACTCCAAAAAACTCTACAAATGTGCAAACCTTTTGCATGAAAGTCAATGCCCTGGTGATTTGTATACCGATTGCACATTCACGATGATTAGTTTGTCCACTGGTGATCATTTAAAACTATTTCTCAACTTTGAACAGAGGCTGATCTCCAAAGAGAGATTTAAGTGGCTAATTTTCAAGTTTCCTATAATTCTTTCCTTGTCCTTAGGTAATATTTCAGCCCTTTTTCTTTCTGTTCTTACTTTTTTTCATTAATTTAAATTGTTCCTGATTACCTGACACTTTGTGCTGGTCTAAGAATAGCCACATATTGCCTCGTGAATGAGTGTATTTTCAGATGAAAAAGGAATCACATCTTCAATCTCCATTTCATTTTCACCTACTCCATGTGGCTTGTTCCTGTTTGGTAGAAAGCTCCTGAGGCTAATTGCCACTTATTCTAATCTTCTTTCTCACACTCAGTTAATTTGGATCCCTGGCTATAGTTGTTTGTTGTTTACTTTTGTGAATGTATTTAGGCTATAACATTTGTAGTTTGGGAAAATTCAGGTTGAGGATTTTGGTTTCTTAAGAGTTTTCAGGATATTAAAGACAGGGGCAAGAATTTGACAATGGCAGGAATGGTAGATGTCAGGAAAAACTATAAAAGATGCCAGGCTTCCCGTTAATGATGAGACAATAGTAATTTTGTCAAGTGAGATTGTATACATGAAAGTAGTATATGAGCTATACAAACATTAGATATTTTTGTTATTTTACCTACATATTAATATTTGTTATGCTGTTTTCATAAGCTAAAAGATGGTAGGGAAGAGCAGATTTAGCTGGTCAGGAGTTTCACTATAAAGATAAAATGATGATAACATGGAATCTTTTTCTGTGAAAGCCAAACTTAAGTCAAATCTTTATCACCATCTGCAATATTTTTTTACAGCCTGGGTTATCAGGTTATCATAAAAAAAACATTTGTTTCACCGATACATTTTAAAAATGTCACACCCCTGATTACGGGAAAACAATTTTACATAAGAAAACATAAGGATTTTAATTATATTAAATTATCATTACATATTTAACTATATTTTTTGTAAAATCTATGCTCAGCATGAAATTAATACACCCAACTCCTCCCTGTGACTTCATTATTATTTTTAATGTAACTTTAGAAGAACCCAGGAGAGTGAGTAGCATGCCGAGTGCGCTCCTATCTCTTCTAGGCTAATTCGAATGGAGAGGAGCAAAGGAGTCTTTGAGTTTAATGCTAAGTCTCACTTTACTTATCTAAGAAAGGAAAACACAGAGTGGCTTCAGCTGTTTAGAACCAAAATGCATATACCAAATGCTATATAAATCCAAAAAGAAAAAAACCTTAGCCACACTTGAACACAAACCAACCAAAGTGAAAGTGTAAAAGATTTCATAGAAGTCAGTTCACCAATTCATTGAATAGTTTTATATTTTCAACTCTGCCAATAAATTGATGGATAATGTCATTTTTTAAAAAAGTGTGTGTGAGCTGTCCACCACTCCTTCCTTGAAGCATCCTCACACTGTCCTCTGAAATCTGAAGACTTAGTGGGATAGGGGTTAGGAGAAGTGCCTTTATGATATTCTTGATCCTATGAGAGAAGAAACTATAATTGCTGAGTTCTGTACCTTATGGAATATTATTAGGAATAATGAGGAAAGTTTTGTATTAATGAACAATGTTTTCATTTCTGTATATATTTTTAGACCGCATTAAAATTACAAAGGACAGAAACACAGCTATTTTGGTCCC